TGACAGCCCGTGAGATCCTGGTCTCCACTGCCGGGATCGGCTGGAGTATCAGGTGCAACGACACAGACAGGGGCAGGCACTGCTGCATCCTCCGATGGGAGTGGCCTGGAAAACAATTTGGCATTGCCTTGTAAGGCGGCCCAGGAAACACAGCCTACAAGCCAACACGCTCACTCTGGTATGCCTGGAGATACACAGGAGAGTTCCCAGGGCAGCATTCCTGTAATCACAAAAAGTTGTCAGTGCTTTAAAGCATTACAGGTGCTGGGTGGACAACAGAGCAGCTGGGGTGTGAACCCAGACGTGGGCGTTTCAAGCTGCCAGTTTGACCATCATGCCACCTACCCATCTCTCTCCATGTTATTCATCTGCCCAACACCTGCATGACCCTTCCTGTGTGCCAGGTGGTGCACAGCTGTGGATGAACCTTAGCGGTCCATGAGGCAGTCCAGGTTTTCGCATGAGAACCCCGGGGACAGGAAGTTTTGTTCCTGAATTTCAGCTTGTGCTGGGCTTTCAGGTTGTGTTGCTATAGAATGGATTCACCTTCCATCCACTCTGTCCCAATCCCTTCTTTGCCACCTAAGAGACCACATGGGGCAGGAGGTCAAAAAAGGGGGCTTAACATTTAACCTGTAGGTGGTCTAGATGTGGGCAAGCAACTACGGATGGAAGTTGGAAGGCAACCCAGAAGGCTACAAGCTCCAAAGACATGGGCCTCCTGTTTGCTAAGCAGGCCAGAAATTCCACTGGGCTTTAACTACGTGTTCCACTTCATAAGATCCCATAGGGAATTTCATGTGGGAAAAGGAGCACAAAACACAGGCATCAAGCTTTAATACACAGGAGCAACTATTCTGAGGCTGACAGAGCCTGGAGACTCTATGCCCAGGCCCATTTAAAAGTAAGCGGGTTCCCAATGCCTTAAGGATGGGCCAGTCACTGAGATTATTGAGTTAAAAAGTCAACACGGTAAAGTCAATTATACTATTGACAGATACTCTTTAGAAGATTTCACATCATAATTACATGCAAAGGAACCCAGCAAATAGAGCTGTGTAATGATCAGCTAATAAAAGGAACACTTCATCTGGGTCAATAACAGTTGCAGCGTTAAGACAAACAAACATGGCCTTTGCCACTAGGTAGAAGGGGAGAAAATAACCCTGGAGACAAATATTTTCACTTAAGGAAAAGTCACTTGGAATCACACAGAAAACCTGTCACACAAAGGAGAGGAGGAAACTGGCCTTCTGTGGGTGTCAACGAGTCCTTTGCTGTCCTTTGCCCAGCAGTGGCAGCGACCCCTGCAGAACCTGGTGCACCCACGGGAGTGCATGGGCACCATCACATTGTATGGCAGTGGATGAAAGGGTGGCTCCAGGCTCCTCTTCCCTCTTGCCCTGGGCTGAACGTAGGTCCAACTGACCCCCCAGCTAAATCAGAATTTCTGGAGAATGGAAACGGTTCTGAGAAGAGCAGCACAGGCTGGGTTTCTCCATCATTTCCTGGGTCTTCCGCAGATGCTGATTCTGTATGCGCCCACATCGCTGTGCTGATGTCACTCTTAGATGCTTTTCTCCCTTAATGTCCCTTGGAGATGATCTCCACTCACGCCAATGGCTTTCTGTCAACCGTAGCTGCACACTTTGCAAAAAGTGATTTGGTTGCAAAGTCCCATCGTGGTGAGGAGAATCATTCTTTGACCATGACTACATGTGCTCTTGCAGTGGACAGACACTGAGCAGGCTGCTTTGTTGTAAACCTCTGTCATCCAGCCTCAAACCCACCCTTCTGTACCGTTTCATGGGCCAGGGTCAAGGCTGGATGGTCTGAGCCACATTTGGCTCATTTGGCTCTACCAATAGGGAGCACCACAGAGACAGAGACGGTGGAGGAGGAAGACTGGATCTTCTTCTGCCAAGGATGCCCCAGCCACGTATCTTTGCTTCCGTAGCACACACATGTAGCAGCCACTGAGTCCAGGTGAGAGCTTTACCAACACTTGTAGAACCACATCGCCTACAGACATGAGCAGGTGTCTCCTCTGCAGGCAGGATCCCGGACCGGCACTCTGGAAAGCTCTCCCTTGGTCCCTTTAGCTCTCTAAGTGGCAGATGCCCCCTCTGATACGTGGAATCCTCCTTTCCCTTTGGGGTGCTGCTTAGTAAGTTCCTATCTGTTTAACAGTTCTTTATATTTCTCTTTGTGCAAATGCCTGCTGTGGTGTCTTCCAGAATTTTATTTATTTACGTATTTATCTATTCATATTTGAAAGGCAGAGAGAGCGTGGAGAGAGCTTCTATCTACCGGCTCACTCCCCCAAAGTCTGTAATGCTGGGGCTGGAACAGGCCAAAGGCAGGAGCTGGAAGCTCAATCAGGGTCTGCCTCAAACACCAGGAGAAACTCAACTATTTGGGCTAGCATCGCTAGCTCAACCAGGAAGCTAGAAGTATAAAAGCAAAGATGTGCCTCAAAACCAGGCACTCCAACATGGGATGCGGGCACCCTACCTGCTGCGACTTCTGGTTGCTGAGTGCAACTGCCTGATTCACAAATCCAGTCCCAGAAACAGTTTTGTGGCCTTTTACTTTGCAGGTGTCCAATGAAGGTGCCCCACTGGATCAGATCAACAGCAATACTTTAAACAGAAATAAGACCCATTATTTCATTGTGGTGCCCTATTCTCTAACCAGAACATAACCAGGGGGAAAAAAATCAGTGCCTTAAATAATCCCTCCAGAGGGCCCTCATCAGCAAAATCCGTGATAATGTAAGCCAGAAAGTTAGTGATTGGCTGGGAGGCAGAGCCTGTTGAAGCCCAAGCTGGTATATGTCTGGCTATTCCATGTTCTTCTAGAAGGAATGGCTGGAAGGCACCCAAAGAGTGGTCAAGATGGTGAAGACCTGCAGGTCTATATTTAGAATCTGCCATGGAAATAGACTGCTTGTGGCAAGTGAAAACACTCTACAATCTAGAAGTCTTCTCAACCAAAAAGACCATTTAGGGGGTGACACAGCAAAGAGGTTAGGAAGCCCACGGAAACCAGAACGCATTTCTTTCACGAGGCAAGACAAGGCAAGGCAAGGCAAGGGCGTGGCTATTTGGTTTCATGGAAGAAATTATTCATGAAATCTAAGAATTTTTTGATCTTAGGAAAGTGTTGACAACAACAAAGACCCTTCCCGGGTATTTTTGGAAAGTCTCCCTCATGAGTGCAAGTGATACTGAATTGAACAACTAATTGACCATCCTAATTTCTACCAAAGTTCCTCCTCATCAGATCCTGGGCATCAGGGTCTGCCCTGCAGATGAAACAACATCTACTCTGGCCAAAATCAACTGATTTCCTGCAACAGTCCCAGGAGTTACACAGGGAAGTCTGACCATGCTTTTCCCCCAGGCACAGTTCATCACACTTTCTAGGACTTTGGTTTCCTTTGGTTCCATGTCAGGAGAGCAAAACGGCCCTTTGGGGGCCGGCGCCGTGGCCTAGTGGCTTAAGTCCTCACCTTGAACGTGCCGGGATCCCACATGGGTGCCGGTTCTAATCCTGGCAGCTCCACTTCCCATCCAGCTCCCTGATTGTGGCCTGGGAATGCAGTCGGGGACGGCCCAAAGCCTTGGGACCCTGTGTCCATGCAGGAGACGTGGAAGAGGTTCCTGGTTCCTGGCTTCGGATCGGCGCAGTACCGGCCACTGCGGTCACTGGGGGAGTGAATCATTGGGCGGAAGATCTTCCTCTCTGTCTCTCCTCCTCTCTGTATATCTGACTTTGCAATAAAAATAAAAAAGTCTTTTTTTAAAAAAAGAATGGCCCTTCAGTGCAGACTTGCATGCTGAAGACAGCCACAGGCCAGTAACTCAGTGAGTCAGGTCTTCTTGGGGTGAAGCCCCAGTACTGGGCCATGAATGATGAGACATCAGCCAGCTGAGAGATGGCTCTGGACTTCAAGAAACAAACCAATGACATAGAAGGACACACACACGGAAGAGACATTGCCAGCCAGGGTCACTCATTAAAGGGGCCCACAGCTGCACGAGGCTGAGGGCCCAAAGGAAAGGGGCATGTGTCTCTGGAGCTGGCTCAGAGGCCAAGTGCATGAAGGCATCATGCTTGGGATGGGCCTAGATGGGCGTGCTGCCCTGCAAATAGGGGCAGGAGAAGGTTGACACGGAGGGAACAATGTGGATAAAATGGGCCAATACCAGGCATATCCGTGGGGCAAACATATCCAGGGGAAGAAACAATGGCAGATTTGGGTGGTGGGAGGGCAAGACACCGCAGAGATCTTGTGATGGGAACCCCAGCAGGTGCTTTGCAGATAGTTCCAGAGATACAACTTACATCACTGTGCAGGCTGGGGAGAGGGGGAGACGGGGAAAGGGAGAGGGAGCCGGGTGATGAGGGGGCAACGAGGGGAAAGGCAATGTTTAAGCAGATTAGGGCTGACCTTAATCTGCGGGTTGGCAGTGGCAGAACGGAGGAAAGAAATTTCCCCAAGGAAGGTTCCTGTGGTTTGGCACTGACCTGATTCTGCAGAGCTGGTGAGTGATGCTACCTGCTATTTATAGAGCGCTTACCAAAGGCCCTTTACCTCGTGATTCCTGCAACCACTCCTCGGAGGCAGAGGAGGAGGAAACCAAGCTCCAAAGAGGCCACTCGGCACCGCAGAGTCACAGGATGCCAGAGTGACAGGGCTAGGCCTGGAGCTGGACCTGTTAGCCTAGTCTCTAATTAACAATCCAGCCACGAGGTCCTTCTATCAACCTTCCCCTGCCTTTGTAGAATAAAGACACTTCATTTAATGTGGCCCCATCCCTTCATTTGCAAAGAAGCCAGGACACTTTGATGGCTTGAAAAGGAAGAGGTGGCGTTTGGACTGTGGGTTCTAATCAGGTGGGTGATTACTGTCACCAGTGAAAGACTGGTCCCCTCTGTCCCACAAAGGGCTCCCCCAGTGGGACAGAACGAGGCCTGGTGAGCTGCTGTCTTACCTCATGGCTGCTGTCATCCCGATGGGAGTGATTGGCAGTGGCCGGACGCCAGGAAACAGCCCTCGGCTCAGAACCCGCGCTCCATTCTGTATCACTCCTGGGGGAACTGAAAAAGCAAAAGGGGAGAGAAGACACCACATGTGGATTCCATTGCAAAGATCCCTGCTCCGCGCCAGAAATTTTGGACGCACCAGAAAAAAACAAAAACAAAACAAAACACAAAAACCTTAGAGACATGGACACACATCACACATATACTCACTCACGCAGGAAGACAGAAACCCATAGAGAAGGGAGCAGAGTGGAAAGAAAAGACACCTTGGTTGGCCAAGTCAGAACAACAGCTTACAACCAAGTTACTGATGTCTAGGTTAAAACAGTCAAAGGGTGGTGGTAGTGGTGCAAATTCTAAAAAGAGAAGCTCAGAGATTCTTTCCCTGCATTCATTGACTATAACCATTTTCACCAGATCCCAACAACACTGCTGATACACATAGTAGGGTAGCAGGTGACCGAACAACAGCAATCTCCTCATGCTCTTCTGGCCGTGGTCTGTAACAGAAGCTGAAAGCATCTTTCTCTTCTGAATCCAACAAGGGGGGAAAAAAAAGACTCAAAATCACAGACGAAACTGATTTTATCAGCTGCTTCGGCACTACATGCTCAAAATGTGGTCCCTCCTCACCTTGGCCTTGGCTTCCTGGGAAAGGCAGGGCAAGGGCAGGGAAGGGCTGTGCCCATGTGGTGTCCCATGGAGCCCAGCGAAGCTCCTGGGAGTCCCTGCCCCTTTGCCCCCACCTCCTGACCACACCCTGGAGCAGCCTGATGCCTATGTTTCTGCAGCAATCATGGCAGGCGCATCCTGCCACTGTTCTGATTTTGCCTGTAGACCTACATCAAGGGGAAGGGCAGGAAGCTCCCCTACTTGGCCCGTTTGACCTCCCAAACAGTAATTTTTTCTGGTCCAGGGCCCCCTTTTGGTGTGTCCACCAACCTCTTCCGTGTGTCTGTTGCAAGAGCACACAGTCACCTTAGCTTCTCCTGAGGGGCTCTGGGTAAGACCCCGAGTCTGCACTTGCCCCTGCAGACAGTCTCCTTCTCAGAGTCCTTCTGGCACGCCCCAGAGCCCTGGCTGTGCCCAAGGCAGCCCCCATAGAGTACCATGCAGCAGCTGAGTGGGCAGTTTGCCTTTTCAAACAAAGACTACTGGAAAGTCTTCGGAAATGATACATTCTCAAACGAAACCACTTTGGTGATCACACTTGGAAGGCAAACAGTGTCTGTGGAGAGTATCTCTTAGCGAAGCTGCTATGTGGGCCAGCACTGCACTGCAGAGTCAGGCTGCCGCCTATGGCAACTGGCACCCCAGATGGGCACTGGTTCAGGAATCAGCTGCTCCACTTCTGATCCAGTGCCCTGCTAATGCACCTGGGGAGGCAGTGCAGGATGGCCCAGGTGTTGGGCGCTGCCACCCCTCAGATCTGGAAGAAGCTTCTGGTTCCTGTTTTTGGTTAGATGTAGTCTTGGCTGTGGCAGCCATTTATGGGATGGGGGTGGGGGAAGAACCAGCAAGTGGAAGATCTTTCTCGTCTCCACTTCTCACTAGCTCTGCGGCCTTGGGCAAGTGCCTTAACCTTTCTCTGCCTCATTCCGTTCACTGGTAAAGCATGCATAATCAGATCTTACATAAACTGCATAAATCTCTTAGGTCAGCGGGTGGCCTGTTATATAAGATCGCCACCATTGCTGTCATTGTCATCCTCTTCTTCCTCACTCCACCACTCCAAGGCATCCCTCTAGTACCCTCTTTCATAATTATCCACAAGGCACAGGGCTGAGTGGGGTCAGGACACAGCCTATCATGCTTTTAGAAGTTATCCCTAACCGCATTCACCCAGTAGAGCAGCCTTCTGATTAATGAACTGTTTGTTCTTCACAGGGAATCGCACAAAGCTATCCTCCAGCATGAACACGCCCGCCCCAAGCTGCTCCCTGACCCTTGCAAGACTTCTAGCCCATCAACTGGTTCATCATCCCAGGCACGCACCCCCAGCTCCTTCCCCAATGAGCCACAACCAAGGCTGTGCTGCCCACACCGGCACTCCTCCACCCTCGCCACTGGCTTGTGATGGCAGGGAGATGGCAGATGTATTTGTTTGCTCACTGGCTGCCAAAAGCCAGCGGGGATGATCAACTGGTCCCCCATCTTCCTTCCTTTCTGTCCCCACTGCTAGTGTCAGTCAGAAATGTGCTTTCTGGGAAACTCAGCACAGCTGGCCAGAAGTGACTCTTCCAGAGAAAGGTTGGGCGGACCCACGGCACACAGCTTTTGAGATTACAGGGCTCGGCAGGGGCTGGAGTTCATTCCGCAGCTCCATCCACATCAGTGCACCTGAAGTTACCCTCCCTTTTATCTTATATGGTTTTTCCTTCCAAGCACATTCAAACGCTCAAAGACCAATAGCTTTACAACCTATCCACCTACCCAAGGCACTAAACACAGCCAGGTTCTACCCGGGTCACAGACCATAAGATGAAACTGGACATTCCAAACCAACTTTGCATGTGGATTTGTGGCTCTCGACTGGAAGAGGCACAGGCCTCCAGCATCTGCCTTTTCTGTTCCACCAGCAAACTAAGCACCTTTTGCGAGAGAAAAAGCACGTGTGTGAGGTTCGGGTTGCTGGGATAGATGCCAGTCTTGTTCTTGGAAATGAAAGACTCCAAACTTTCTGGTTTTTAACTAGCAAAAGAAGCAACCCTCACACATAAAGCCAGGGCCAAATGAAGCACAGTATTCACTGGCTCACGGAAGATGTGATAATGCCATCTTGGGAACCTTAAAGAGAGTCCACAGCATAAGGCAGACTTCCCCGAGCACCTTGTCGTGCCTCAGCTTCCTCCTCCAAGTTTAGCTCCCCTCTAAAGTCACCCTGAGCTCCTATGGCTGCCTCTGGAGGGGTGCCCGGCTAACTCCGTCCCAGGCCATAAGCTGAGCAGCAGGCGATTCCGACAATCCTTCCCTTTCCTAAAGGCAGCCTTTCCACCTGCTTACTTGGAAGCGGACTGAGGAAGAGGGCTGGCTGAGGTGCCCAAAGCCCATTTCCTGGTCGCCTTTTTCCTGCTGTGTCTGGTGTGTCTGATGGCAGGGCATGGGACAGGTCCCCCAATCAATCCCTCCTTCCATTGTTGTTTTGTTTGTTATGCAGAGTTGTTTCTGGGACTGGTCCAGCGAGGGATTACATAAGCCTCTGAAAATGAGTAATGGTGATCTGGCTTCTCTCGACTTCATAACAATTCCTCTGCTTCCAGAGGACTCACAGGGGCGGGCACTGCAAGTCAGGTGCTCAAGGGATCCCAGAAGCGGACGGGAACTACATGGCCACTCTTTTTTGGAGGGCCTGGGTGGGTGGATGACTCAGAGAAAGAGCATAGCCCTATCCTGTGCCGACTGTTCTGGAAGCAAAAGTCTGTGGACTGGGGAGACTTGCTGGCTCTTTGCAGAATGTTTCTCTGTTCCAATGTCATATGCACTGTGTGTACCGCTGGAGGGACCAAATGCTGCTGGAGGTTAGTGCCCCACTGACTGCAACAACTCCAGTCCGAGAAATGTGTGGTATGCTGGGTTTCTCTGTGGTCATGTGGAACTCTCAAGAGGCCTGCAGTGACCAAAAAACATCTACTTGAAATACACTCACACACATACACCCAAGATCTCCAATCTGCTGGTTTACTCTTAAATGGCCCTGCAACAGCTGGGGCCTGGTCAGATTGCAGCCAGGGGCTGAGAACTTATTCCAAATCTCCCTCCTTGGTGGCAGAGACCCAAGGGTTTGAAGCAACCCCTGCAGCTTCCCAGGGTGCACATTAGCAGTAAGCTGGAATCAGAAGGAGCCAGCCTAGCAACTCAGGCATTCTGATGCAGGATGTGGCGGTGTCACAAGCAGCACCTGAACTGCCATGCTCAGTGTGTGCTCCCTGCCAGCTTTGTCTTATTCCCTGACCTGCATCCGGTGCCTTGGACCTGGGTAGCTCTGCAGATGCTGAGCGAGAGAAGGAAGAGATGAACAGATCTCAATGGCTGTCCTCCGGTAACCTGAGGGGGAGTGGCCACACAGGATGACGACAAAGGATGTCCCAAGACATCAGGCCAGCCTCTGATGACTGGGACTACGTTGGCATTTGGTCATCAAACTGGACCTGCAGCAGCCCAGGAAGTGGACACACAGGGTTGCTAATGGTCCCACATAGCTCTACAAATACAGTCCGGCCACAGTGGCAGCCCTGGGAGAAGTTCTCGGAAGCCATGCTTAGCATGTGTGGGAATCAGCAGGATGCTGGACTAGAGAAGGTTGTATGCATCCATACCGGAACCTGCACACACCAACAGCACCGCCCAGGCCACCACAAGCCATCACCATGACTGGCCAGCTGTGGCTCAGGAACCGCCTCTCACTTTTTCCAGGTCTTAGACAATGCTTGCAGGGTAGGGGGTGGTGGCTTCAACACTCTAGGTCTGTAATGCTTTTCTCTTAGAAAGGCAAGGTATTGGTGTCTGGCAAGACGGCTCAATTAACTAACCCTTTCCCCTGCAAGCACTGGGTTCCTATATGGGTGCTGGTTCATGTCCCAGCTGCTCCACTTTCCACCTACAGCTCCCCATTTGTGGCCTAGGAAAGCAGTAAAAGTCGGCCCAAAGCCCTGGGGCTCTGCACCTGTGTGGGAGACCTGGACGAAGTTCCTGGCTCATGGCTTCAGAGTTGCTCAAGTCCAGCAGCTGCAGCCATTTGGGAAGAGAACTAGCAAATGGAAGATCTTTGTCTCCGACTCTCCTCTCTGTGAAGCTGTCTTGCAAGAGCTTATCAAAAGCAGGGACTGGCTGAAGGAGACAGACATCCATGGCTATGTTTGAGTAGGTCAAGGATAGGCCAAGTGCACAGAGCAGCCAATGCATTGCACTCCTTTGCTATGGTTCCCTTCTTAACCCCAGCAACCATCTTACCAGGAAAAATCTAAAACTAAGGATCATTGTGTACCATGGCCAGGTGCTAAGAGGGGGTGACCAAACCTTACTTGGCTCTTACTTGACTTTCACGATAATGGATCATACACCTTGATTTTAGGAACCATTTTACCTTGATGGCAGTTCTGGGCTATACCTTTTCTGCATTGCCACCCAGGAGTGGAAGTTTAAACTTCTAAGTTTCTCTGAAGCTTAAAACACCACTTAGAGGGTGGCTTGCTAGGAGGCTGTTGCTATGGTATAGTACTTCGGCCACTTGCAAGGTCAGATCCTGTGTGAGTTTAAGCTAAAGCCCTAGCTGTTCCACTTGTGATCCAGCTCCCTGCTAATGGAGTAATGGAAAACAGCAGAAAATAGTCAAGAACTTGAGCCCTGCCACACATATGGGAGATATGGATGAAGCTCCTGGCTTCGACCTGGTCCAGCCCTGGAGGTTGTGGCCACTTGGGGAGTGAGTCAGTGGATGAAAGATTCAACTCACCCATCCACCCATTCCTCCCTTCCCCTTGCTAACTCTTTCAAATAAACACTGCATAAATTGTCTTTTAAAACGGGCATCTTACAGGTTAACTCTAACAACAGATCTAAATCAAGCACATGTTTGCTTAGCAGTGGTGTTTGTTGAAGGTGTGGGCTGCCTGGCATTTCTTTCCTTTTTTATTTGGATTTATTTTATTTTTATCGGAAAGTCAGATATACATAGAGGAGGAGAGGCAGAGAGGAAGATCTTCTGTCCGCTGATTCACTCCCCAAGCAGCCACAACAGCTGGAGCTGAGCCCATCTGAAGCCAGGACTCCAGAGCCTCTTCCAGGTCTCCCACAGAGGTGCAAGGTCCCAAGGCTTTGGGCAGTTCTTACTTGCTTTCCCAGGCCACGAGCAGCGAGCTGGATGGGAAGCGCAGCTTCCAAAGTTAGATCTGGTGCCCATATGGGACCCCAACATGTATAAGGCAAGGACTTTAGCCACTAGGCTACCATGCTGAGCCATTTTCTCTCTTTTTTTTTTTTTTCAAAGACTTACGTATTTTTATCGGAAAGGCAGAGTTACAAAGAGAGAAGGAGAGACAGAGAGATAGTCCATCCACTGGTTCACTCCCCAAGTGGCTGCAATAGTCCAAATTCCAGGGTCAAGAGTTTCTTCTGGATCTCTCACATGGGTGCTGGCCCCACCAAGCACATGGACCTTCTTCCTCTGCTTTTCTAGGAAAATTAGTGGCTGGATTGGAAGTAGAGCAACCAGGACTCAAATTGATGCCCATATTGGATGCTGGTGCCACAGGAGACTTAGCCACCACACGGTCCCCTGGCTGCCTAACATTTCCATAGCTGCCAATTTGAGTTAACATGTTAGGAACTGGCCATGGATGTGCCAGGCAAGGGAGCAAGTTACCCTGAGGATGCTCAGCTGTATCTCTTGGAACTTGAAGAAAAAAAAAAGTGAGCAAGAATTGGGTCCAATTTCCTACAGGTGTCAGGAAAGCTGGCACACACACAGGGCTGTGAAGGAAGGAGGGCGGGTCCTTCACATCTGTGCCCCAGGACACCTGTTAGGGGAACATCATGCTCTCTAGCCATACAGAGTTCACTTTGGCCAAACAGCTATGTGGCCCTCGGAGAACCACAGGCCAGCAGGAGCTGAAAGCCCAGCTACAGGCGTTAAACAGGCAGGTGCCAGCTCCCAGCAGGGTCTGCTGCTTCGTGCCATCAAAGTCCTTTAGTGAGCTGGGCAGAACCTGGCCAAACTGTGGCCCTTCCGTGCGTCTCTCCAACAGGGCCCCTGCTGGGTGTGGGACGTGAGCAGTGGCACGGTCAGTAAGGGACAGACACTGGATGGCCACTTTTTAAGAAATCCCCTAGGAAGGAAACCATTCTGAGATTACAGTAGACTGGATCCAGAGATGGGACTGCGGGCGGGAGAGGGGAAGGAGGAAACCTCAGATGCTGAACAGAAAAGTCCAAGGAAAAGCCTCAAACCTGAAACTGTCCAATGGCTGACAGAAGGCAGAGACAAGAGCCCCGGCTGGCAAACCTGCCCTCCATCCATCGCATCCTGCAGGCGGATGACGCGAAGAGCCACCAAGGCTGTGCGAAGCTCCAGCACGCAAGGCCACTTCGTTCAAATGGCAGCTTGGTTCTCATACCGTCCCCAGAAGGGAGGGCCACTTCCAAACAGGGGACCTGCTCCTCTCCCTCCTGCCCCCATCACCTCTGCCACAAACTCCCAGAAACTCTCTCCTTGGCCCTCACTCCTGGCTTTGCTTCTCTTTCCCCATACTTGCCATTCTAACAGAGCTTTCTCATTGTGGAAGTAACACCTCTGCATCCACTCACACCTACGCATGGGTGGTGGGTAACGTGAGGATGCAGGGACCATGTACTTCCCGAGGGTTTCAGGTGACCCTCCCAGGGAAGGTCTACTTGAGCATGAGTTCCTCCTCCGCTCTGTTCTATAAATGAGAAGGTTAAGGTCACAGACTATGGCGCTTTAGGCTATAGACGTATCTACTCACAACCTGCTTGTATCTCAGGGGGAGTATTCAAAAGCATCATGGCACTGGCGGCATCAATGTCAGGATCTGGAAAAATCAATCAATAAATAACATTACTTACAACGGGGATGTGTGTGTGCATGTTGTGTGTGATTCCCCCTGCCTGTTACAGTTTATGAATGCAACAGAGAAGAAGAAAAAAAATTCCAGGAACTGGATGAGCTACCTGCAGAGTAACTTTCAGCATGGGACTGAAGGACTGTGATACTGAGTCTTCCAACAGAGGAACTTGGTCTTGCCTCATTGTATTAATTTCATAATTTACGCTGCGCGTTCCTAAGCTGCGGATCTGTGTGCCCCCACAGCCTTCAACCTGGGGTGGAGTACGAGGCCCAGTAACAGCAGTTTAGCAACAGGAATCTTTAATGAACTGGGGAAAGCTCTGAGCGTTACGAGAAAACACTGAACACACCTGCACCCTGTGAGATACAAACAAGACATTTTGGTCATTTCCATTTGTCAGCAGAATGTCAAGTGTATTTTATGAGATGCTGTGTGTGTATACTGCAGTGGTGCAAGTGATAAAGGCAGTGAAAAAAAACCAGAAGCAAGCACTTGAAATACAAAGAAAAAACTAGAAAGTTCTGATGTTCAGGGCACAGAGTTGCTAACATATCCATTACTGCTTTCCACAAGGGCCAAATTTAAAAAAAAAATACTCATTGCTTCATTGCTATTAATTCTTAAATGGTTTCTGAATCCCAAATGATACACCAGTTGACAGATGGCAGGTTACACGGAGACAGAGAAAAATATTATCCTTTTATAACTAAATTCATTTTCCTCTGAGAAGCAGCGGCTCTGTTGCTATGGAAATGGAGGTTACCATGGCAACGGTAAACAACCCCCAAGAATGGCCACTCAATAGGCTGAAAAGAACATCTGCCCCAGCACAGGGTTCCAGCTGCCCTGGGGGGAAATTCGCTAACAGTGCGGTGACAGTGGCTGCCGCCTGTGCCCTGTCCAAATAAACGGAGTGTGCATTGAAGTCGACATCAAAACGCCTGCCCTTGTAGATTACCGCCTCGCCAACTGCAAAACCCAGCGACAAACCATGGGAGAAAGGGGGCAGGGCACACATTTGTCAGGTTTTGCACAAATGACACACCCCAAAATTAAATTTACTACCGATGGTTCCAAGGCACTTGATTTTGGAAATTATGCGAAAAAAATAATCTTTTTTTTTTTTTAATGTTTAACAAAGTGCATTTTTCATACTTTACATTCTGAGGGAATTTTGGGATGCGGTAGACAGCCCACCAGCCATTCTTGACACAGGTGGGGCTGGCTCAGATAACACAGTCACGGCAAGACACGCTACAGAACGGCAGAGGAACCTCCCTCTGCCTGCCTTTCTTTCTCTTGTGCCTGTAGGAGGCCTGTGACTTTTTGGAATCAAAGTTTATTTTTAATAAGTGTATGGTCTGAGAAAACAGGTAAATTAAGTTATCCGGCAACTCCTGGGGTGACATTTCTACAACAGTTATTGCTCCCCACTGATAGGAAAAGATCTTAACATATTAGTTGCATGATGACCTGCGAGTTCTACTCCTGGGCTTGGCCCCCTCCCTGCACCCTGACTCTTGTGGCTCATGGGCAACCAGGGGGACAGACTTAGTACCACACAGGGAGTTCAGGTAGTCTCGCCCTCAGGGAGAAGCGAGACAGCCTTCTTCATGCAAATGCTACAGGTGACCCTTGTGCTGGGCTAGCTGGACAGCCCCGCCTCCCCAGGTGACTCCAATCACTGGCTGTTTTGTGACGGCTGACTGACCAGCAGGCTACCTGGGATAACTAGAAGCCCAGGTTAAGAAAACAAGAGGTTTTTTTTTTTTCTTATTATGCCAGAAAATGAAGAGAAGTAGTTTGATTCTTCAAAAGCCTACTGGACCTCAGGAGAAGGTCTGAGGGTCAGAGGGGCAAAGAAGAAACAATGAAAGGAAAGCAAAAGAAGGAGAAAAAGAGAGCGAACCATCAACACTCATGCCAACGGAGGAGCTTCCCAGGAGCTCTGCAGACCCCCACAGCATCCTCCCGACACCCTCCCCAGGCCTGGTGAAGCCAGACAGACACATACAGTAAGCACAACAGTGACCTGCACGCTAAGTCCCCCAGTCTTCCCATTTAACCAGATCCACCACGCCCAATGCTTCCATTCAGAAACACTGTGATGTTGCCAGGAACGGCTGGGTACTTGGGGTGGGACCGCCACACCCAGCCATCCCAGGATCTCACCCTCAGTGAGAGATCCAGGGTCCATTCTTTTATTTGTTTTTATTAGAAAGTCAAATATACAGAGAGGAGAGACAGGAAGACCTTTTGTCTGCTGGTTCACTCCCCAAGTGACTGCAACAGCTGGGGCTGAGCTGATCTGAAGCCAGGTGCCAGTAGTTTCTTCCAGGTCTCCCACACAGGTGCAGGGTCCCAAGGCTTTGGGCCATCCTTAACTGCTTTCCCAGGCCACAAGTAGGGAGCTGGATGGGAAGCGGCGTCCATATGGGATCCCAGTGTGTACAAGGCCAGGATGTTAGCCACTAGGCTACTGCACTGAGACCCAGGGTCCATTCTTAAAGGGCTGCTTCTTGAGCAAGCAGTGAAAGTCTTTTCGGTCTGGAAGGCAAGGCATGGGATTCTCTCCCTTTGAAGTGTTGGCAGTCAAAAGAAAAAACCAAAGGCAGACACAAGAACTAGAGATTGAATGACAAAGTATAAAAGGCCTTTGCATGTGTGTCTCCTCCTGCCGCCCTCCCCAGGAGCTACAGATGCGCCACCCACTGAAAAATCAACTTTAAGGGCAGGTGTTTTCCTGTAGCAGGCTACATATCAGTAGACCAGTTCAATTCCAGCATTTCTGCTGCTTCTTTTTATAAATTTTATCAAGAGAGAGAAATTCCTTCTGTCTGTTGTTTCACTCTCCAGACAACCACAAAGGTTGAAGCTGGATTGGTCTGAAGCCAGGAGCCTGGAGCTTCTTTTGGATCTCCCATGCGGGTGCCGGGGCCCAAGGACTTGGGCTATTTTTTGCGGCTAAATCTAGCAAGGCAATGGATGACAGCTCAGGTAGTTGTCCCCCGCACGGGAGACCCAGGATGAGTTCCTGGTTTTAGTCTGGTTCAACCATGGCCTTTGCAGCCATTTGAGGATTGAAGCAGCAGATGAAGATTCTCTATCACACTGTCTTTCAAATAAATAACAACATTCTTCTTAAAAAAAAAAAAAAAGAAAGAAAGAAAATAAACAAGGAAAACTATTGAGTGTCACCTCCCCAGCTTATGGAGATGGTTCCTTCTTCATTTGGAGCCTTTTTCTTTGTGGACAGACAGGAAATGAACCTGACTAAGCATGAAGCTCCTTGGGTTCAAGTTCTGGGTCTGCCTTATGATTTTGTTTTTGCTAGGCCTGAGTTTACCCATTTAACAGATGGCCGTTAGCCGGCTGCAGGCTTGGGAGAGGCCAGCTGGCTTTCTCATCTCCTTGCGCGTGGATCCTTAGCTCGCCCTGTGATGTTTCTGGACTTCCTCCTGTCTGATTCTTGGCTGCCAAAACTACGAATTTCAAGGAGCACCTACCAAGGGGGACATCTGCTCCGGAGCCTTTGTGGGCGGCTACCACGCTCGGCAGGGCTGGGGGAGCACACCATGTGCTCTGGGAAGCTGCAGCCGGTCAGGATGTGCACCTGCCAGGTCCATGTGGGAGGGATGCGTGCAGCCTAGATGAGTGTTTTGTGGGTTCCTGGTGTGGCTTCTGTCTGTGTTGATGCTCCTTCTGAGAACTAACTTGGAAAAGCCACCATCTGCTTTAACAAACGAAGAGCGTGAAGGCAGGTGGGTGATGCCCCTCATGCAGTGCTCGCTGCTGTAAATCTACTGCAATTATCTAAGTGTTATCTTTCATCTCTGATCTGCCCAACCTAACAGAACGATGACAGCAGAACATCTCCCATATGGAACATCTAAGGATGCCGACCACCAGCTCCCTAGCAATGACTACTTTCTATAGGGTTACTGGATCTCTCTCCTTTGTCTTCATCTCTCACCTGAAGCATTTTCCAAGACGATGAAAGGTTGTTGTTATACAACTGAACAGAACTTTAGAGAAACATGAAAAGACCAAGTAACAATGACGTGCACCTGGAAAGAAACTGCCAGGAGCACAGGTGTGCATTCCATCAGCTCCACATGCTAGTAGCCTAACGTTCTTTTCCATTTTGCATTAGAAAGAGAGCCGGCGACAAGAGCTCCTCTTCCCCTGCCCTGTGTACTACGAGGATCACAGTGCCCAGCAAAGTGTTTGGAACGTAGGCGAGTGTTAAACAAGTAGTTGCTGGTTGAGAAAGTGGGTGGTTTGTCCAGTCTCTCAGGGGACTGCCCGGTTAGGGGGGCTCAGGACCCGGTGAGGTGCGGTGAATGTCTTGCGATCCTTAAGGCACCGGTGGATTTCTGTAAGGACTTCAGGGCAACAGGCTCCACTCTAGGTAACACCGCATTCTGTAGAAATTCATCATGGAATTCTACTATATAGGAAAGGTGAAGGACCATGTTCTATAGAAAGTCAACGATTTTGAACGCATCCATAGTGGCTCACTAAGACATGAAGAAACCCTTCATTCCACCTCTTGGCTGTAAAATTTCTCTATCCGCTTCAACAACTTTGTATGAGAATGATTTGTCTAAGTTCTAAAAAATGGAGGGAGCAGGGATGGGAAACTCTGATGGACTTTTAAAGTCACAAGGACAAGAAAGAGATAAAAACAAGCAATTAAGCAATAAAGGCCCAGGTGAGTGCTGCCTTTCCTGGGAAATTCAGAGTAGGTATGCACACTTTCATTTCTGCACATCCCAGACACCAAATCAGTGATGCTCAAATGGGAGACACTCAGTATCCCCTGTGCCCTGGCACTCCTGGAGACAAGTCTGACTGTAGCGATTGCACAGGTGAGGGAGGGTGCTCCTGCAGACCAGTGGGTGGAGGCCAGGGATGCTGCCCATCATTCCACAGAGGACAGGGTGACCCCAGAATGAAGCAAT